AATTGGATCTTAGTTTCTAGTAACAGACATATAGAAGAAAGCATGGTTATAATAATAATTATTTTCTTAAAGATTTAAATTAGATAATATAAACTATTGAGAAATAATTACCAGTAATAATATTGTTAATGAACTACTTATACATGTATAGCATTTAATCAAAGTTTCAACAAATAAAATATTAAAGAAAAAAATTTTAACAATATAACAATAAATTTATTTAAATATTTAAATAGGTTATTTTACATAAATAATATTAAACATAAATTACTAAAAGAAAGCAAGATTTCTGACTTTGAATTTTTAAGGCTGGATTGATTTAATTATAAGTTTAAAATTCTGAAGTTTAGTTTTCTTTTAATATTACTCAAAATGTTATCACTTTGTTTATTGCTTTGTGCATTTGAGCTATATATTGTAGTTAATAGCTATGTGCAAAATATTTGATTAACTAACATAGCTTAATCTTTTTCAAAGTTTTTAAGAATTTGATATTCACTGAGTTTTGACTTCCTCTAGAAGTTTGAACTTTATTAGGGTTTCACCAAAGTTCTACAGTTTTGCTAGAGTTTGCAAGTTTTGTCAGATTTTTTTAGTTTTGCTAATTTGCTAGATTTCATCAGTTTTGCCAGAAAGTTTTGTATTTTGTCTTTTGCAAGGTTTAGGTTTTATCTTACATCATTTTTCAAAATGGTTTTACCTAACAACATTAGTACCCATAACTTCTGACTTTATAAATTTATGATCAAAAACTATGAGTCCAATTCTATGACTCAAGCATATAAATTAAGACATTTAATGTGATTTTCATAAGTCATAGTTAAATTACATTACCATTTACCAATATACTCTGCAATAAAAGCAGAACCAGTTTTATAATTTTTATGGTGTTTCTTAAATTATTAATAGATATATAACTTATATATCAAAATTAATTCTTAAAAGTAATATACAGTATATATTTATACAATATATATAACTTTATGATTGGTTGATACAGTCTTTACAAAACTATCAAATTTATTCTATTGATTTATTATGATCTTAAGTCGATTCTAAAAATTTGCAGTAATATTATAGTAATAATTATAACATAATCTTATAATCATTATCTTATAATAATCTTATAATAATCTTACTGTATAATAGTATCAAATCATAATCTTATAATCATCTTATACTAATCTTGTTAATCTTAAATCATCATTTTTATAATCATCTTATACTAATCTTATAATAATCTTAATAATTTTATAATAAATTTAGAGTATTGCTATTGCTACCTCTATTTTTGCTAATGCTACCCCTTACATAATCTAACTCAAATCAATAATTAGGGTTAGGAGGATTGGAGGTCAATTAAATCATGTGAGGGTAGCATTAGCAAGTATAGGGTGCAATAGCAATTCCCTAAATTTATAATAATAATCTTACAATAATTTTTTTATTTTATTATATATTAGATCTTAATCAATTCTAAAAAGTATCATATTAATAACTTTAATATTAAATTCCTAAAAAATTTTTGCATGTCTTTGTAAAGGTATTAACTACCTCATGTGCACCTTTATTGATATATTCCAGTGTAATTTTTTATCGGAGTCACTGAAATATTGGAAAATCGGGAAGTCCAGTGATTCCAGATACAAATCAATATTAAATGCAACCGCCTAAAAAATCAGATAAATAAAATTGGGATACTAACATACAAGATGCCATACTGAAATAGCCGATAAGGAGAGAATTTATAAAACAGGAAATGAATATACCATATTGTTGGACCATAACATCAATGATATCACCATCTTCCATTTCCAGCTAATAATTAAAAAATTAAGAAAAAACCACCGTCATATCTTAAAGGTCAATATAAAGGATATAAAAGGTAACCATCGAAGTAGAATTAAACATGCCTCAAGCGGAGTATCATGAGCCTGTATGCGAGCACCATCATAAAGGAAACGAAATGACTTAACATCCCTGGTTTGTTTTTCACAAAAAGCGTCCATTAGCTTTTTCAATTGTGTTGTTCGCTTAATTTTAAAGAACATCTCATTACGCTAAGAATGTAACGCACATTTCATTATATGAAATAAATAATTTAATGATAAACTTTGTATAAAAGTAAATACTTACGTCTTCAACCACCTTGAGATTAATATGCTCACTGTTAGTTCCTTCTTTCATGCTCTCCACGGGTTGTCCTATAAGTTGAACAGAGACTGGAGTTGAGGACATAGTGTCAAAATGCTCAGACCTTGATATTCGTTTTTTGAAAAAAGTTGGAACTTATGTAGTGATTCAGTCTTCTCCTTTTTAAGAAGCACAACTAATATGGTCTAATTTTGTAATATCGGTGGATTTTTAAAAAACCCTAAAATTATGGGATATTAACCAATTGGTTGGGGTGGGACAATCATTAGATCATTAATAATAAATTATACCGTAATAACTATGCTATGCATAAGCGTTGTATTAAAATTTAGCTACATAATGAACTGACAATATCTCTATTCTAAAAAAAAAAAATCAGTTGGAAGGCATGGTAGTCAGTTGGACGTATATTTTTGGGATACTTTATAAACAGACTCATCAGTTGCTATCTATTCAATTATTAATTAAGGGGTTGGTACTGCTGAGTTGACTTTTATTTATCAGACTGATGACTAGAAAAAGGGTCCAATTTGCAAAATACGCTGATATGTTAACTCTTTGTATCACGATTCACACAATGTTGTAACATGTTACGAATTAATACAAACTTACAATTAGGAAAAAATATAATAAACGGATATATGGTCGTAATTGTCCGAAGTATCGTAAAGAGCGATGCAAAGTGTTACAAAAATTATGTCGTACGTCGTATGTACATATCTAGGGGTTTTTAAAGCAGTTATGATTATTAACCTTTTGGTATTTTGGCATGATATGGCCGCGTAACGTATCATTGTAATCGTCTTTTTTTGATTTCGGCATGTTGTGTCGCTATCGTGCAAGGATCGACATGAACAATTTCCTTCTAAACACCTAAAAAGACATCCGCCGTTTTTTATTGGGGTGTATCACATCAGTCAATTTACAAACATAGTGCACATGATATAGTGATAATCACTAATAATGATTTTTATAATAAATTTTTTAGATCTACGCTCTATATTAAATAATTACAAAAAAAAGGCTTTACTTCGCTTTTAAT